TCTCCCGCACCCACCTCCCGCAGCCCGCTCCCCCCTCCCGCAGCCCGCTCCCGCACCCACCTCCCACTCCCGCACCCACCTCCTGCTCCTGCTCTCGCACCCACCTCCCACAGCCTGCTCCTGCACCCACCTACTGCCCAGACCCCCTCCCTCACCTGCTCCTGCACCCATTTTGTCATAGTGGGAGGTTGACTGGTGGTCCGCGGAAAGGTTTGTATTGATCAGGGTGGGCCACAGGTCAAGCAGTCAGAGATCCCAGGTCTATGGGGACAGTCTGGCTGTACCCTCGGGTTGTCTCACTCCCATCTCTACTGCTAGATTATTAACTGTGGAGGGAGCAGCCCTGGGCTCAGACTGCCATGTGTGGTGCTGCCCCCAGATATTGATGTCACTGTGTCACCCTTCTCCGCAGCTCCCAAAGCCCCCCGCAAAGGTGCTAAGTGGCTTTCTCCCCATTTCACAGATGGAGAAATGGAGGCCCAGTGAAGCAGAGGGACTTGCCCAGGGCTCACAGCCATTCGGCAGCGGGGGCGCGGGGGGGTAGAACACAGAGATACTGATTTCCAGGCCAGGTTCCCAATCCCCAGCCTGCAGGGCTCCTCATGCCTAGCAGCAGGGGGAAGCTGTGCCGGCAGTGCAGGTCGTGGCAGGTAAGGAGTGGAGGGGGATTTCCAGTTCCCTTCCCTCCGCACGGAGCGTCTTTGTGGGGCCCCACGCGCTGGGTCTCCGGGACCCCAAACAGGCAGTAGATGTAAACCCTGCTCTGCTGAATGCCAGGCTTCCCACCCCCTTCGGGCCCAGGTCGGCCGCCGGGCCTGCCTCCTGCTGCAGCTGGTTTGCGTTGCAGGCTCATTGGCAGCCCCACCCCGCAGGCGGTGAGCAGCCAGACCGCGCGCTGGAAGCCTGAGCCTTCAGCCCTTCGCTTCCCACCACGCGGCGGAGAGCACGGGCCAGGAGGGAGCGTGTGGCCCTGGGGTGCGGGCAGCATGGGAGACAGGAGAGAGGAGCGTTCCGACTGGGGGGGGGTGCCGATGGATTGCAACTCTGTGTGTCTGTGCACGCAGGGGGCTCGGGATGGAAAATCCCCGTTAAGCAGTTAGTGGGTGGAACGCTGGGTTCACTTAGGCTACGTCTGCACTATGAGTTCTCTCAGCAAAAATATGCTAATGAGAGACTCATTTGCATGAGTCACGATCTCATTTGCATATTTTCTGCCCATCCGGTTTTTCGCTAGGGGTTTTTGCGCCAAAACAAGCAGTGGGGACGTTTTCCTTTTGTGCAAAAACCCCTTTTCCCACAAGCTCGGTAAACCTCCTTTTTTGGGGCATAAGGATCTTGCGGGAAAAGAGGTTTTTGCGCAAAAAGAAAACGTCCCCACTGCTTGTTTTGGCGCAAAAACCCCTAGCGAAAAACCGGATGGGCAGAAAATATGCAAATGAGATCGTGACTCATGCAAATGAGTCTCTCATTAGCATATTTTTGCTGAGAGAACTCATAGTGCAGACGTAGCCTAAGTGAACCCAGCGTTCCACCCACTAACTGCTTAACGGGGATTTTCCATCCCGAGCCCCCTGCGTGCACAGACACACAGAGTTGCAATCCATCGGCACCCCCCCCCAGTCGGAACGCTCCTCTCTCCTGTCTCCCATGCTGCCCGCCCCGCCCGCTGGCCATCCCCCCGTGAGCGCAAGAGAGGGATCAGCCCTAGGACACGGGCTGGCGGCAGAGCCAGGGAGCTGAACAAACACGTCTCGGCGAGTCCCGCGGCCGGACCTCATGCCCGGCTCTTACCCACCCAGCGCCCTTTGCCGGCGCGCAAGAGCCTGAGGCCTCCTAGAGCGACAATCCGAGTGTGGCT